ACTTATTCGAGGCGTTGCCACACCTCGTTGGACATCCTAGGCAGGCAGGAGGCGCCTGGTAAGGCAAAGGGTGATGATGGCGACAACCCTAGTCACAGGTCCTCGTCGACGGAGGTGTTCCTACTCGATTTTAGCACTCCGGTGGTATAAACTCACGTGAATCCGGACGTGTTAGGGGCCAGTCCATCGTCTTAGTTTGGTAGTAGGACGTACAACGTCAGCTTGTCATCGCAACATTCTGCACCTACTTCATTCGCTGGTGGAAGCTTTCCTCAGTACGTCTCTCAAGGGGGTACTCAGTGGGCCGATCCCATGATCGTGATCCCTACGACGGGCGGTGCTAATTTTACTTAGGTGTTGACCCCTCAATCTGTGTACTTCTATGATACGATGAGAGTTCCTCAAGAGCCTCGTCCTCCACCTGCATTATATCTTCTTTTCTAGACTATTTGGACTTTGCTTTTTATGCGTTATACATTTTATTGAAATTTATGTACATATATTAGACTCATGTATATACTAGACTCTATCTATTCATTTTTTGTACCCTTTTTAGTCTTTATTTTTTTTACACTATCTTTATGTGCATATGGGTGTGTGATTTTGTGACAAATTTTGCAAAAAAAATTCGTCATTTTTATTGTCATTGGAGGGTATCCGACTTTCTCCCCGAAAAAGAAAAATGAAAATAAGAAAATGAGGAAAACATAAGTTTATAATTGATTAATTTGAAATTCCTTAAAAAAATGAAATTCCAAATAAATAAGGATTTAAACTAAAAGGTTGAAATAGCATAGAAAAGGTGAATAATTTTTGGATAGGTAAGAAAAATGAAAATAAGTTGGCTAAAAATCTAGATGATCGAAGTATGAATTTGAAACAAAATCAAATCAAAGAATCATTATGACGCGCTCTTATATCTCGAGCGTCAGGTACCATCACGACGCGACAGCCTCATCGCGGCGCGATGGTCCATCACGGCGCTATGGTTCTAGGAAATCCAACTCCGAATTAAACTCAATTTCTTCTTCAATTTTGTTTATAAAAAGCCCCTAAGGTCGTCATATTTCATCATAATTCGAACCTCTAGCTTTCATATTCTTCTAGTTTCATAATTTAGTAATCATGTCTAAGAATTTTTGTGAAATCACTCATGAGTGGTGTTGGTCTTTGACTCTTAGTGAGAGGAAATAATTTAAATACCTTAAAATGAATGGTCATTGGGTATTAAGGGTGTATATTTTGATAGTGATTTTATCCATACTGCCATAGAATATTAGGACCCCAACACTCACTACGTTAGACTAGGAAACGATAAAAATAGCCCCATGCCGGAAGAATTTGGTGCTAATTTGGCTTTCCCTCTTTACATCTTGCCGTAATCCCCAGAATATGCGAATATTATTATAAGGGAAACCGATTTAAAATCCATAGTTCGTGGAAAAGAAGTAGATTTAAGAAAATTTGCATCTTTTTTCTTTAATAGACCTAAGTCTAATTCTTTTCACATGTATAGAAGAAGAGCTTTCTTATTCTGCATGTTTAGTCAATTTTTGCTCACTAGTGGTAGTATCCATACGGGTCAAGTTATACTAGCATCAGTTATGGAACAAATTGATGTTGGTAGAAATCCAATGCCTTAAATTTTAGGAGAAACAATGATGAGTTTAGATAAATTGAAAAAGGATCCCGAAGCAACAATTCGAGGATCTCCAATATTATTACAGGTAGAAAATCGATACTTTTAATTTTAGAAATCAAAATATTTAATTTTGTAGTGTAATAACAATTTATTTTTATTCTTGCAGATTTGGCTAATGGAAAGGCTTGGATTAATCAATCCTCCAGATAATATTGAAAAATATACGTCTAATTGCCTTGTGAGAAGGAAGAAGAGATTTTCCATAAAGAGGGGACGCCGAGAGTGGAGCAAAATATTTGAAGCTCACAATTTCTCCATCATGTGGGTTGTGCCTTGGTGGGAGATCGAAAAAATGATTGGAGTCAATACTCAAGTTTTTTATCGTGCTCCAAGCTAATCAAAGTTGACCTTTTATTACCCCTTTAGAGTAATGAGGCAGTATGGTCTTACCCAAACCATCCCTTCTGGTGACAATTGTCATCCTCACGAATATTCCGTATCAGAGAGTATTGAAAGGTTCGACGATTGTTGGTACGGTAGACCCTTATGGACTATTGTATCTTGGTTACTTTTTCGAGATTGAAAGGATAAGAACAAGGTTCGAAAGGGTGCAGAGAAGAGCAACATAAAAAACCGCCTAGGGGACAAGAAGGTTTCTCTTTAAGATTATCTGGGTTCAAGAGTTGAATTCAAGACTCCTATCATGCCTGAGAAAAAAGGTGTTCTAGAAGACAAAGGGAAAAGAAAAGCTACTCCTATAGAGAAAGAAAAGAAGACTTGGGTTCACTCTTGGTAAAGGAATTGTCGGAAGCAAAAGACACAGACAAGAACTGGAAAAGGGCTTGGAAGGAAAAGGAAGATTAGAATTAGAATATTGCTTTGCCTTTAAATTTTTAGACCAATTTTAATTTCAAGTTAAGCTTTTAACTCATCAATAACGTAATTTCAATATTAATTCAATTATTAATGCAATTTTAGCTTTTAATTAAATTAACTTTATTTCTATAATAATCCTTTAATTGAAATAATTTTTCAAGCAATGAAAACAACTTGAAAATTTTCAAAAATAATCTGAGTATGGAAGTCGGAAAATTTTCGAAATAATTTGAAACTGTCGCAATTAATTGCAACTTGTCTCGGAGGAAAACGAATTACATCGCGGCGTGATGGGTCCATCGCGACGTGATAACTCTAACACGGCGCGATAATCCTATCGCGGGGCACTGTAGTCTGATTTGTGACGATACTGAAGCTTCGACTTGATATTTTAATTTTGTACTGCGTTCAAAGGAAGAATTTTGAAATTTTAAAGTGGATGCACCCTTCGGAAGGGTTGCCTACGTATCCTTGTTAAGGAATCAGGCCATACGTAACTCTCTTAAGTACGGAACTCATTGCATCATGGGTAGAACTTCTTGAGTTGGTCATGATTTGCCATATTGGAGAATTCATTACCGTCCATATATGTTAACTTAACTAAACCTCTAGATAGGATGATTTTGACTATATATGGTCCAGACCAATTAGGCCTAATCTTCTCCCTTGGGTCTAGAACCTTCTTTCTAAGAGCTTTCAACACCAAGTCTCCTTCCTTGATGTTTCTTGTCTTAACCTTTTTGTTGAAGTTTCTAGCCATGCGATTTTGGTAGCATTGGACTACGCTTCTAGTAGTTTTTCATCGAGTATAACTAGCTCTTCATATCGTGCTTTAGTCCATTCAACCTCATCAAGTTTACTTTCCAATGCTATGCGCAAGGAAGGTATTGCTAGCTCTACAGTTTATACGACGTCCATTCCATAGACTAGGGAGAACGACTTAGTTCCTGTGCATGAGCGGGTTGACGTGCGATAACCCCAAAGAGAAAAGTGGAGTTGTCAGGCCAATCTTTGTAATTTTCTGTCATCTTTTCGATGATTGTCTTTAGATTTTTATTTGTTGCTTCTACTGCACCATTTTCTTGAGGTCTATATGGAGAAGAGTGATGATGTTGAATACCATAATTTTCAAGTAGGTCTTCACATTCTGCTTGAAAGTGAGTACCATTGTCACTTATCATTTCATGCGGGACTCCATATGTACATATGATGTTCCTTTCGATGAAGAGTGTCACATGCTTTGTAGTGAGTTTTGCGTAGGATGCCGCTTCAACCCATTTGGTGAAATAATCAATGACAACGACGATGTATTCATGGCCTCCTAATCCAGGTAGAGTAATCTTTCTAATGATATCTATTCCCCTAGTTGAGAATGGGCATGGAGATGTGTAAGTATAAAGGAGGGAAGGTGGAACATGTTGCAAATTGGCAATCACTTTTCATGGTAGTCCAGTAATAGCCTTGGCGCATGACCTTCTAGACTAGCATCTTACCATTCATGTGTGTTCCATATGCTACTTCATGGATAATTCTCATTGCCTTTTGAGCTTCCTTTTTGCCTACGCATAGGAGAGCTCTACCTTTAGGTACTCTTTTATGGAGTTCACCCTCTATGAGCAGAAACTGTGAGGCTAAGAGTCTTAAGGCACGTTTTCGCTTTTTTGTCAGCATTAGGTGGATATTCTACTTCGGTGACATAGTTGAGAATGTATGTATACCATGGTTCTTCTTCATCTTCTTGGATCTTCTTCATCCTCAAGAGCTTTAACATAAGCAGGCTTATGCCTTTTGTATATAGTTAGAGGCATTTGCTTAACTTCCTTAGGAACCCTAACCATCGAGGCTAGTCTTGCCAAGGCATCAACAAATTGATTTTCCTCTCTTGGTAGATATGTGTATTCTACCTTTTCGAGCTGGTCTGCAAGTAGGTTAGGTACGGAGCTAGAATTTCACTCCTTACTTTCCACCTTTTGGAAATCTGGTTTATGATAAGGGATGAGTCTCCGAATATTCGAAGCTTCTTAACTCCCAATGCCAATGTTGTTTCGAGGCCTACCACACATGTTTCATACGTTGCTGCAATGTTGGTAACGTCGAAGTCAAGCTTTATTGAAATCGGGACATACTCTTCCTTGGGTGACACTAATAAGAATCCTACGCCACATCCTTTTTGGTTGGATACACCATCAAAGTATAGTGTCCAAGTGTCGTCCTTAGTGACCATTAATTCTTCGTCCAGAAAGTCATTTTCTTCCACTGGTGTTGAGTCTTTAATCAGAAAGTCTACCAAGAAATTAGAGACGGTGGATCCCTTGATGGACTTTTTAGGCATGAACCTTATGGCAAATTGAGCTAAGTTGACTATCCATCTCGATATTCTTCCACTAAGTTTGGATTTCTCAAAGAGATACTTGAGAGGATCCATTTGCGATACCACATAGATTGTGTGAACGAGCTTGTAATGCCTTAACTTCGTTGTGGCCTACACAAGTGCGAGGCAAAACTTTTCAAGTGGTGTGTAGCGAACTTCATATTTGAGCATCTTTTTACTTAAATAGTAGATGGCATTCTCTTTTCCATTTGAAACTTCTTTTGCGAGCATAGCCCCCATTGTTTTTTTAGTGACTGTCAACTGTAGAAGGAGAGGAATGTTTGGTATTCCTGGCACCAGTAAAAGAGGATTTGCAAGGTAGGCTTTGATCTTATCAAAGGCTTCTTGACACTCATCGTCCCATATCACTAGTACATTCTTCTTGAGTTTCTTCAAAATCGGTTGACACGCCATGGTGAGTTTTGATATGAACCTAATTATGTATTGCAATAGGCCAATGAATCCTCGAATTTGCTTCTTGGTCTTAGGCAGTCGCATAGACATGATAGCCTTGATTTTAGTGCGGTTTATTTCAATTCCTATAAAGATAATGACATAGCCTAGAAGTTTCCCTGTGGTAACCCCAAATGCACACTTGGCAAGATTTAGCCTCATGTTGTACTTGCGAAGCCTTTTGAAGAATTTTCTCAAGGCTATTTGATGACAAGGGCGATCCTTATATTGTAAAATCATATCGTCCACGTACACCTCGATTTCCTTACGCATCATGTCATGAAGTAAGGCAGTTGCTACTATTTGGTTTAAGGCACCCACGTTTTTCAACCCGAATGTCATCACTATGTAGCAGTAAGTGCCCTATGGTGTTATGAAGGTGGTCTTTTCCATGTATTCTTCTGCCATGAGAATTTGGTTGTAGCTTGCCTACCTATCCATAATGGAGAAAAGTGTGTGATTGGATGTGTTATCTACTAAATGTCGATGTGAGGTAAAGGGAAATTGTCCTTTGGGCTAGCCTTGTTGAGATCCCTGTAGTCGACACACATTCTTATTCTACCATCCTTCTTGGGGACCGATACCACTTCAGCAATCCATTCTAGATACTTAGACACCTTGATAAAACCTGCAGTTATTTGTTTTTGAATTTCTTCTTTTATTTTAAGCGTTATGTCAGGTTTCATTCGACGTAACTTTTAATTTATAGGTTTCATTCTCGGAATTAATGGTATAGTGTGTTGAGCAATTTCTCTGCTTATACCCTGCATATCTTCATATGACCAAGAAAAGACAACGATAAACTGAACAAGTAGATATATTAATTCAGCTCTTTCTTCTTGATTTTAGATTTAAGCCAATTTTAACTTCTCTGTTAATGGTGGGATCTTTTGAGATGTTAACGGTTTCAATTTCTTCAATTACTGCCGTTTTATTCTCAAGTGTTTCCATTGCTTTAATTATTTCTTTGTCATTTTCATTATTAGCAAAGCAATACTTGTCATCTTGGGTAAGGGAATAACACGAGGAGTAAGCGGAAGAAGTCATATTATTAAATTCTTGAATCATTACATCAAAAAAAGAAAAAGGTCTGCGGAGACCTGGCTACTAACTATTCTAGGGGTAGATGCTAAGCTAGGTTTGATGGTAGGGGGTGCAACTACAAGAGACTTGGAATACTCAACGATATAAGACTCAAACTCAGACTCATCGAACATAGGACCTTCTCCCGTAGTTATAGATATCTTTATTCTACTTGGCGTAGTCACTTTCACAGTTTTGCGCCATCCCTGGAGTAGTCCTTTCGCTGGAGTGATGAGCTTGGAGGGGTCAAAATCTTCACTTTGTAATACAGTCTATATAAGTACGAAGTTGTCGTCGATGCACTTAGACTTGTTTTTTTGTATCCAAAAAGGAGACCCATGACATTAAAATTCGAAGCATTGGGGTGCTTGTTCCTTATAGGTAGGAGCAGGGATCTCATCTAGAAAGTTGCAATCCAAGAAGATTTCGAACCCAAGCTGGCGTATTCCATTCCTGACAAGTGGTTCAGGGAATTTGTAGCATGGGTAGCCTTCTCCCTCTTTTATAAATTGTCCGTTCAAAGTGAGAGGTTATGGATCTATTGTTATTATATCTTTCTTGGTACGAGCTCTTCTTCGTGCATTGGACTTTTCCAAGGCTCGCTTGAGGTCCTATGGAGTTAAGTTGAATCCAAGTCCAAGAGTATCCCTCTTAGGGAGGCTAGGTAGTCCCATGCGTTTAGTTATTTCTTTCTTCTTTCCTAGAGTCATTCCAGGAAAGTGTCCTTATCTTTTAAGAATAGCATTAACAACAATATTAGAGTGGGGGTTGTAGTCAAGAGGGGTATATTCATCTTCTTCGATAAAAGAGACCTCTTCGGCGTTGAAGCCCCCCAAATCTTCGTCATACTCATCGTGCTCCACTTGCATAATTAGTTTATCAATCGCTTTGATTCTCATGGGTGAGGCATTGATTGTGATAGGAATTCCTCCAACTATAGCCTTACTTGTTGGTGGAAACATGAAGGAATGACCTTAAGTTCATGGAGCCATGGGCATTCCAACAACAGATTGAATGAAGCCTTAATATCTACTACTTGAAAAGTAGTGCTATGTTCAATGACTCCTGCTATGACATTCATGGTGATAGTTCCAAGGGCTTGACGACAAATTTTGTCATAAACCCTTATGCCTTGTGTTGATGGAGTCAAGTATTCATCCTTTATTCCTAACATTTTGGTAGTGAAAAATGGGCATACATTGATTGCTGAACCATTGTCAACAAAGGTCATTGGCACATTCATCCTTTTGCATACCACCGTGAGGTTCAAGGCTTTATTGTGCTTATCACCTTCTAGTGGTAGATCCTTGTTAGAAAAGGTGATCAAGTTATTTGGACTAGGGAGGTAACTTGTGAGGAAGTTGGCTAATCCTTTTGGGAGTAATCTCAGAATCTATTCCCACCTTTGCTAGAGCATCCATTGCTGCAACTCTATGCTCATGAGATGAAGCTAGAAGTTTCCAAACATTCATCTCTCCCTTAGTCTTATTGAGCTATTTGACAATGTCATTGTCTTCTATGATGGGTGTTGGAGCTTGTTGAGTTGCAGGTATAGGCACAGTTGTGACTGGTGGTTGCAGTCTCCCAAACCTTGTAAGCATAGTGATTGGAGAGTCCTCATCCTATATGACTAGGAAGGTAACTTGTGAGGAAGTTGGCTAATCCTTTTGGGAGTAATCTCATAATCTATTCCCACCTTTGCTAGAGCATCCATTGCTGCAACTCTATGCTCATGAGATGAAGCTAGAAGTTTCCAAACATTCATCTCTCCCTTAGTCTTATTGAGCTATTTGACAATGTCATTGTCTTCTATGATGGGTGTTGGAGCTTGTTGAGTTGCAGGTATAGGCACAGTTGTGACTGGTGGTTGCAGTCTCCCAAACCTTGTAAGCATAGTGATTGGAGAGTCCTCATCCTATATGACTAGGAAGGTAACTTGTGAGGAAGTTGGCTAATCCTTTTGGGAGTAATCTTAGAATCTATTCCCACCTTTGCTAGAGCATCCATTGCTGCAACTCTATGCTCATGAGATGAAGCTAGAAGTTTCCAAACATTCATCTCTACCTTAGTCTTATTTAGCTGCTTGACAATGTCATTGTCTTCTATGATGGGTGTTGGAGCTTGTTGAGTTGCAGGTATAGGCACAGTTGTGACTGGTGGTTGCAATCTCCCAAACCTTGTAAGCATAGTGATTGGGGAGTCCTCATCCTATATGTCATTATTGTCTTCAAGTGGGTAGAGTGCAGCAAGTAGTGATTCAACCATGTCTTTGAGGTACACATCCTCATCATCATTGTCCCAAATTCCATTGATGGTGGTATCATTGGTAGTAGGGATAGTGTTTTCTTCTCTTAAGTTGTTGATTAAAAGTTGCCCATTATCTATGAGTCCTTGAATATATTCCTTGAACTTGAAGAAATTTTCAGTTGTATGACCTCCAGATTGATGATACTTGCAATAAAATTTGTCCATTCTTTTAAGGGACTCCAATGGCTTTGGTTCAATAGGATTGACCATATCCCTATTGAGGAGCATGTCAAAGGTTCTTTCATAAGTAGTGCTTATAGGTGTGTAAGCCCTCTTGTTCCTTTTCACTTGTGGCTCAACAACGTTGAAGATAAGTGGCTTTCTTCCAACGTTACTTGGTTTATGAGAGGAAGAAGAAGAGTCACACTTTTTTTTAAGGATAAGCTTACTTTGTAACTTGTTTACCTTCCTAAAAAGGACTTGAAGTTCCAGATTTAGTTCTTGAAGAACATCACAAAGACTAGCCATATCTACGTTAATAAGGTTTTTGGAGGGACTAGCAATTTTATTATTGGTAGTCTCATCTTGGAAATCAGTCTTGGCATCAAAGAAAATCTCCTCTCCATCTTCAATGGCATGAATCTCTTCCATGGGAACATCTTCAACATGCTTGATAAGGAGTGACGGGTCTATTGATGTTTAATCATAAAAAATAGCCAAGGGGTTAGAAAGTGGAGAATTATTGATGCTTGGCTTCTTACTAGCAGGAGGCACTGGAAGTTTTTTTATTTTCAATCAAATATTGGTTAGCATCTTTTAGCTTCCAACAACTTTCAGTAGAGTGGCCCCTACCTTGATGGTATTTGCAGTGTGCATTTGGATTCCAATTGGCTGATCTCCTTTTAGGTGTAGGATCTTGCATAGGTCCAATGGGAGTAATAAGTCCTTTGGCATGGAGTCAATCAAAGGCGGTGTCATAGCTCATCCTAATAGGGGTGAACTCTTTCCTTAGTGGCCTTCTTGGCCCTTGATTATCTCTGGCCAGGATATCATTAAGATTAAGAGTATTACCATTGTTACTAGAGTGGGTGTTCTTAGAAGAAGAAGGATTGTCGTTCTTCTTTCCTTTCCAGCCACTATTTTTACTATTGTTAGCAGCTTTCAATTTTGCAAGGTCATCTTCAATTTCAATGCCTATGTTATAGACAACTTTGAAAGTACTCAAGTTGCATTGATATCTCAAATGTTTTTGATATTTGTCTTGGAGATTCTTAATGAACATCATCACAGATTCTTTTTCACTTGGAACTTCAATTATTCTAGCGGAAGTTTCCTTCCATCTATTGTAAAATGCGGTGAAGCCTTCATTTTCTTTTTGCTTAAGAATTTCAAGCTCTCTATGATCAGTTTCTACTTGAATATTACATTTGTATCTATCAATAAAAGCATATGTAATATTGTCCCAAGTGGCAATTTTCTCAGCACTTATGGAAAATCACAATTGTTGACATATTGGTTCAAGTGAAAGAGAGAAAAGTGAAGGGAAGACTTTCTTGTCAATGTCCTTAATTTCCATGATTGTCTCGAAAGCCTTCAAGTGAAAGTAAGGATCGTCAATAGCCTTGAACTTAGGGATGTCATTGGCAGAGAACTTCTACGGAAGAAGGTCCTTATCCACTGAGATCCCATTAGAGCTTATTCCAAGGTACTTGTAGTCATTAGAGATTTGACTTAAGTTGTCTTCGATGCGTTTGATTGTCTTAACGGGTACTTGTTTGCTAGGGTCCTCAACTTTCTCTATTCGAGTAGTAAGCCCTTTGAGCATTTCCGCA